TCTCTGTGAGTTTGAGGCCAGCCTGGGCTACAGAGTGAGTTCCAGGAAAGGTGCCAAAGCTACACAGAGAAACTCTGTCTTGAAAAAAGTCAAAGGAAAAAAAAAAAAGATGCCAGATGGTCTACTGGGAGGTGAAACACTCCATTCTGCAGGAAAGCTCCTTACGCTCAGGAAGTGCACACCTTAAAGGCTTCAGGAAGCCCCTGAAATAGAACACATGTACTTGGCCCCTCCCTCCCCAACAGTGTATAAGCAGTAAGAACTGCGGAGAGACAACCTCAGAGGAACGGAGTTGCCTGAGACATTCCAATCACCAGACTGTATAGTGACCCAAGTTCTCTGCTTTTGTGCATTGTAACCATTGCTGGGTTAGGGGTCTCAGTAATGCAGTGGTCTTTGTAAGAAACTGTCACCCACACTCCTGTAAATAACCCTAATAAAACCTATTGGTCTCACCAAGTTGGATTTGGGTGATGTCTTTACTTTGGTCTGTCCTTGGTTCCTTATCTGGGATGAGTAGGTGTTTGCTCCTATCTCCCAAAGAATAGTGTCACTCCACAAAATTTTTTCATACACACACACACACACACACACACACACACACACACACACGCACGCCACAGTGCAGGAGGAGATCGGAGGATGAATGGAGGAGTCCTTTCTCAAGGAACTCCTTGAGGCATGATGCGTGGTGGCGAGCATCTTTACTTTCTGAGCTCCCTCACCAGCCTGACTCCAGAGCTGAGCAGACAATCACCCCATGTGTGTGTGGGTACTCAATTTGTACGTCCTCAGTCTGAGATGTCTGTCCCACTGCAGGCTGTGGGTAGGAGGCCAGGCCCAGGAGAAACTAGAGAAGTGATGTTTAAAGCCTGAGGTCGGCCTGGTGTGGTGCTGCACACATTTAATCCCAGCACTTGGGAGGCAGAGACAGGTGGATCTCTATGAGTTGGAGACCAGTCTGATCTACATGGTGAATTTCTGGACAGCCAGAGACACATATTGAGACCCCCATCTCAAAAAACAAAAAAAAAATTTTTTGAATAAATAAAGCATGAATTTGGGATTTTTCAACGTCAGACTTCTGACTGTTGGTCTGGGTAGTAATGCCTATAATCCCAATACTTTAGAGGCTGAGACAGGAGTATGGGGGTTCTCTGTTTCAAAACAAAAACAGCTGGATATGGTAGCAGATACCTTTTATCCCAGCACTCTGAAGGCTTCTGCTGAACTCCATGAGTTCAAGGTCAGCCTGTATACATTTTGAGTCTCAGGCCAACCAGTGAGACCCTACACAGTGAGGCCCTGTCTCAGAACAAAAGCAACATTCAGAGAGACTCCACAGTAGTTAAGAGTGTTCACTGCTCTGGTAAAGAACCGGAGCTTGATTCTCAGCACCCATGTCAGGCAACATATAACCACCTGTAACTCCAGCTCCAGGGGATCTGCTGCCCTCTTCTGGCCTTCTTAGGCACCTACATATATGTGCACATACACCTCAATAAAAATAAAATAAATTTAAATAAGGAAACTGCTCCTAAGAAGATCCAGTTTGGTCCCAGCACCCATTCCAGGTGGCTCACAACTACTTGTAATTTTGGTTCCAGGAGATCCAAGGGCATCAGTGCTCATTTGCATAAATCTGCATGCACACACACATGCTGTGGAATAAACCTCTTGCACACTGTAAAGATTTGTTACTCAGGGGCTGGCGAGATAGCTCAGGGGTTAAGAGCACTGACTGCTTTTCCAGAGGTCCTGAGTTCAATTCCCAGCAACTACATGATGGCCTACAACCACCAGAAATGATGCCTCTTCTGGCCTAAGGGACACATGCAGGCAGAACACTGTATACCTATAAATAAATAAGAAAAAAAAAGATTTGTCACTCAAATTGGTTTAATAAAATGCTGATTGGCCAGTAGCCAGGCAGAAAGTATAGGCAGGGCTACCAGACTAAGAATGCTGGGAAAGAAAAGGGTAGAATCAGGAGTCACGGCCACACACACAGGGAGCAGGAGATGAATATACCATGCTAATAAATGTACCACCACGTGGCAGAGCATAAATAGAATTATGGGTTAATTTAAGTGTAGGAGTTAGCTAGTAACAGGCCTGAGCTATCAGCCGAGCATTTATAATTAATATAAGCCTCTATGTGATAATTTGTGAAGTGGCTGCCAGGTATTTGGGAGTTGCTGGTGGGACAGAAACTTCCGTTTACACACACACACACACACACACACACACACACACACACATACACATAAAAATCTCTAAAACTAAAATGAAACAAAAGAGAGAGTAACTGAGGAGCTGAATGAAAAGAATTTACACACTCTCACTCTTCATATAGCATAGTGCCTGGGTTAGCAACATGCAGATGCTGTCCCTCTCCTAGGGAGAGTTTGGTGTGTAGTTAGAGGCAGCCAGTGGGCTTGAGGGAGGATGACAGGGGACCTATCCTGTTTGCCTTCTCCTCCACCTAATGGCCTTGATGGAGCCAGAGTCTGAGGAGGGAATAGTGGCTGAGTCACATGAAGCCAAGTGGAAAGGGCAGAGGGAAGCCACTGGGGCTGCCAAGTAAGAGTCATAGGTGCCCTTCGATGAGGAAGGCTCATTTGTTTGGGCATCATGGGGCCCGGTTAGAGGGACCACGTCCACATGGTAAAGAGACAAAGCACAACATGCCCCATAGAGACAAAAGTATTTGTTAAAGCAGTGTCCCAGGCTGGCCTCAAACTTACTGAGTAGCCAAGGATAAGCTTCAACTTGGATTCTCCTCCCTATACTATTCCAAGTGCTGGTGGTACAGGCATGTAGGTAGTGCCATGGCAGTGCTGGGGATGGAACCTGGGTTTTGTGTATGCTAGACAAGCACTCTAAGTGAGCCATGTCCCCAGTCCCTTTTGTGTGTATGTGTGTGGTAAATGTGAGTGTGTATGTGTGTGCGCCACACACATACACATACACACATGTCCCTAACCAGGTAGAGGACAAAGGTCAATGTTAAGAGTCTCCCTTTGGGGTTGGAGAGATGGCTCAGTGGTTAAGAACACTGACTACTCTTCTGGAGGATCTGGGTTCAATTCCCAGCACCCATATAGTAGCTAACAACTGTCTGTAACTCCAAGATCTGACATCCTCACACAGACATACCTGCAGGCAAAACACCAATGCATATAAAATAAAAATAACCTTTTTAAAGAAGAGTCTTCTTTCATCATTCTCCACTTTAGTTTTTGTTTGTTTGTTTGTTTGTTTTTTGGGACAGGGTTTCTCTGTGTAGCCCTGGCTGTCCTGGACCTCTCTCTGTAGCCAGGCTGGCCTCAAACTCAGAGTTCCACATGCCTTTGTCTCCCAAGTGCTGGGACTAAAGATGCTTGCCACCGTGCCTGGCTTCCACCTTGTGTTTTGAAACAGGGTTTTACCCACTCACCTAGACTAGGTGGGTGCCAGGGATCCTCCTGACTTTCCCCAGTCCTATACATGGGCCATTGGCACTTTATAGACTGAGCCGTTAGCCCAGCCCTTATTGTTATTATTTAAAGATTTGTTTATTTTTATGTGTATTGGTGTTTTGTCTGCATGCATATCTGTGCACCATGTTGGGACAGTGTCTGGGAGGGGTCAGATCAGTGTGAACCACCGTGGTCATCTGGAAGAGCAGCAAATCCTCTTAACTGAGGAGCCATCTCTCCAGCCTAAGAGAAGGCAGCATTTGACGCTGGGTATAAAAGGAGAAACAGCCGTCTACAGAGCAAGATCCAGGACAGGCACCAAAACTGTATGGAGAAACCCCGCCTCGAAAAACCAAAAGAAGAAGAAGGAGAAGAAGAAGAAGAAGAAGAAGAAGAAGAAGAAGAAGAAGAAGAAGAAGAAGAAGAAGAAGAAGAAGAAGAAGAAGAAGTAGAGAGAGAGAGAAAAAAAAGTGAGAGAAACAGAAAGAAGTGATCAAATGGTTGGGGTTTGTAGCCCTCTATTTCCTGTTTGTTTATTGGAACAAGACCTCGAAGTAGTCCTAGGTGACCTGGAACTTGCTATGTAGAACAGGCTGGGGGCTGGCCTCCTATTCATGGCGACCCACCTGCCTCTGCCTCCTGAGTGAGTACTGGGATTAAAGGTGTGGGCCACCACTCTGGCTCCTCTGTTTTCTTTTTTAATTTATTTTTATTTTGTGCTCATTGGTGTTTTGCCTGCATGTATGTCTGTGTGAGGGTATCAGCAGCCCTGGAACTAGAGTTACAGGCAGATGTGAGCTGCCATGTGGGTGCCGAGAATTGAACCCGGTCCTCTGGAAGAGCAGCCAGTGCTCTCAATCGCTGAGCCACCTCTCCAGCCCCTCTTTCTATTTTCTTTAGGTAATTGTCTTTTTTCCAGATTACTATAGCATGACTCGAGTGGGTGGGCCGGTTTTAGTGAAAGTCGGCATCCCACAAGAGAGAGTGGAAAATATCCCTGGGAGTGGTTGGCCCGCACTCTGGAGCATGGATCTTGCCCTTGAACACAGATCGGCCCCAGACACAGGTCTCTCCCGGTGGCTCCTGCTCCAGCTTGGGCCTCCTCAGCAACCAGACCCAAGCTGACCGCCTTCCAGCGGCAATTGCTCGGCAGAGGCCGGAAAGCGCTGGAGAGTCTCTCCTCTCAATCCTCGCTCCTTCTAGCAGGACACTCGGCCGCCAACGCCTTGCTGCGAGCTTTTCTGGAAGGGAGGGAGGGAAGCTGCTCCAGGGCGTAGAGTAGCAGCAGTGCCGCTGCGAACCTGGCAGAGAGGAGCAAGGCAGGGCAGCAGTAGCTCGCAGTGCCGCGGCCCCGGGCGTCCCTCCGGCTGAACCCGAGCTGTGCAGCGCCGCGATCTACGTGCTGCCACGGGGGCGTCGCTGGCCGCGGGCTGGCACCTACTGATCTAGACTGGTGAGGTCAGGGAAAGACGACTGGGGAAACACCCCGCAAGGAGGTAGTGGTTCAGAGATCAGCGCGGTGCTCGACTAGAGGTCAGGGCTCCAGGCAGTGATGGAAAATGAGACCCCAAAAGTGTCAGCGTGGTCCCAGAGGGAGAGCGACACCCTGGGTAGGGAGTTCAGGGAAGCCCTTTCCGAAGAAGCTGTCCCTCCAATCAACCCTTGGGCGCAGGTGGCGGGAATCCGGCGTCCAGCGGAGGAGCCCCGGCCTTGGGGGCGGGCCCAGGGCCGCTCGAATCCAGCTGGCAGGTGCGGGGGGCGGTGCCCAGCCCTGCCCCCGGGGGACGTTCTTGGAGGCCAGAGGCGGGTCAAAGAAGAGTGCTGGCGACGCCTTAGAACCTCGGGCGGCGGCTGCAGCTACAGGTACTGCGCAGGTCACCACGTCCTACCTATCTGGGCATCTCAATCCCGGCCCGGAGAACTGAAATTTTCCGAGTGCGCCTAACTCGGAACATCCAGGCCCCCGCGCCCGAGAGCAGAGTCCTAGGGTCACCTGAATCTTAGGGCTACGTGCTCCGGGAGCCGCAGAGCCAGGGCACCGAGGGCTGCCGGGGAGGCAGTGAGGTCCTGGAAACCTCTGGAGCGGAGGACTTGAAGACCTCGGAGCCAGAGAGCCAGGTCCCGCAGGTACCAGTTGAGCAGGACACAGAAAGCCTGGACGGTCCCTAGCTGGGCCGCCTGGCACTCGGATAACGGAGGTACTGGGGCAGTGTCCCTCTCTCGACTCGGAAACCTCCCGGTGTGTTTTCCACCGAGGCCCGCGGCATCTCACCTGGCGCCTGCGGAACTGCTGATGGAGACGCCCATCCAGCGCGAAATCCGCCGCAGCTGCGAGCGCGAGGAGAGCCTGCGCCGGAGCCGGGGTCTGAGTCCCGGCCGTGCCGGCGAGGAACTCATCGAGTTGCGCGTGAGGCCGGTGCTCAGCCGGCCCGGCCCGGGCCCCCAACTGCCGCGCGCCCTGGAGCGCGCTCGGGCGGGCGCGAAGATGCAACGGGACATCGACCGCGAGGCTCACAGGCAGGCGGCGCTGGCGAGCCCCGAGGCTCCGCCGCCCGGCGCCCGGCGGCGGCCACAGCCGCTGGACGAACTCAAGCGCTTCTTTGAGGCTGCAGCGGAGGACGGCGGGGGCTTGCAGCGGCGGCCGGAGGCGGGAGGCCGGCTACACCCCGCCGTTCAGGACGGCTGCCCGGTGCTGGGGCAGTCGCCGCCGCTTGTTTCCCTGTCACTGCTGGAGCAGGAGGTGCGCCAGGTGCGCGAGCGCGAGCGGGAGCTGCAGTTGCAGCGGCGCAGCATCTACGGGGCCGCTGAGGTCGAGGAGCCAGCGCCGAGCCTCACCCGTAAGCCGGTCACCCCGGGTCCTAGAGCTCCGCTGTCTCCACCTCCAGTGGCCCTACATCTGTAGGCTTGCAGACTCCCGGGACCCTTAACTATCCTTCTGGGGTCACCTTCTGTCCTCCACTCCCACACCTGGAGTGAGGATCACCAGATCCACCACACATTGTCTTGGAACCTTGGCTGGCTTCCGGCATTCTCGGGTCCCCTATCGTTTTCAGGTTCCTGTCTATGCTGGGTTTGCCTCACTCCTGTTCTTGGGTCCCCACAACTGGGTGGAGGCCTCCACGGGGAGGGAGGGGTGCACACCTGTATGTGTTTAAGGGGTGCGGCCATCCTCCAGCTAGCGCCCGGGGAGGGGGGGGCAGCCGCGGCTGAGCGTCCCTTCCCCCACAGCGAGCAGGGGAGACGGAAAGTTGGCGGTGATCTGGCCCCCGCGGAGACGGGCCTCGGAGAACGGCCTGGAGAAGGTAGGAGCCTCTCTTTCCAAAGCTTGTCGCTCTCCCACCCGTCCCTGCAGCGCCTGGGCACTGAGAAGGGAAAGGTGCATCCTGGTCCCCCTGGAGCGCCACTCAAGCCCAAACTCGAAGTCTTAGACGTGACCCAGAGAGTGAAGAGGAGCTGGGGGCCTGGAGCACAAACTGTCTCATCCCCACACGCCTGGGTATAGCTCTTGCCCCTGACGGTGGCCTTTCTCTCCTCTTTTCCGTAGTAGGAGCGCAGACCCTGAGGGCTGCGAAGGCTGGGACACTCGTCCAGAAGTGACAAACCCTTTAAAGAACCAGGGTAGAGTTACCCTCCGGATCAGCAGAAGGCCTGGAGAGGGAGGAGCCAGCTCTCTTCAATGGCAACTTGAAATCCTGCCCATCCTTGATACTGACTATGGAATTAACCACCTTTCTCCATTAAAATTGTTTAGTCTTCACTGGAAAACTAACAACCACCCGCAAAACCTGTGAGTGAAACACAAAATAAAGCCCCCCCCCCCCCACTTCCTGGGCTTTATTGCAAGCTCTTTTCTACCGGAACCTCTTTAGTCTGGGTGGAGCGGGAGCTGGGCGGGTGAAGGACTCCCAGGAAAGCCACCAGAGGATCGCATCGGAATGTTGGAATTCGAAATGCGCTCTAGTCTCTGTTCCCGGCTGCCTGCTAACCCGGGACTGGAGGCCGGGGCCCTACTGCCCCCTGGTGGTGAGAGTGCAAAATGTTGCGCACCGGCCCATAGACTCCACTTTGGGTCTCCAGATCTCAGCTTTTATTGGCGCCAAAGGCGTCCTGTGCTCAGGGCGCTGCTAGGAAGAGGTGCTGTGCAATTGTCCCTGCTCTAGGGAAATAAACAATAGTGAAAAATACCAGTGGTGGGCTGGGAAGACGATTCAGGGTAGAGAGTGCTTGCTTTGTAAATAACCTGAGTTCAGTTCCCAGCATCCATATGAGAGGTCCATAACTACTTGTAACTCCAGCTCCAGGGGATCAGTCATCCTCTTCTGGCCTCCGGGAGCACCTGAACATACATGGCATACATTCGCACAAAACGCATACATACTCACATGAATTAAAATAAAGATACATTTCTTTCTTTCTTTTCCTCTTTTTTTTTTTTCTTTTTGAGACAGGGTTTCTCTTTGTAGCCTGGGCTATCCTGGAACTCACTCTGTAGACCAGGCTGGTCTCAAACCCACAGAGATCCACCTGCCTCTGCCTCCGAGTGCTAGGATTAAAGGTATGTGCCACCACCACCTGGCTGTAAAGATAATTTTTTTTTTAAATAAAGAAAAGTAGTAATGGTGGCGATGAGGGGCCCAGCGCCTGGTGGGTATTCCGTCCACCCTGTCTTGCTTCTTCTAAAGCCATGGTTTCATATGGCCCATATTGGCTTCAAATTCTCTCTGTGGTCAAGGATGACCTTGAAAGTTCTTAAAAGATTTTTTTTTTATTTATGTTGTGTGTATAAGTGTTCTGATAGCCTGTGTGTGTGTGCCACTTATGTGTAGTGCCTGCAAAAGCAGGAAGAGGACACCAGATCCCCTGAAACCAAAGTTATCGATGGTTGTGAGGGACTGTGTGAGTGCTGGGGACTGAACCCTGGTCCTCCAAAAATACTCTTAATTTCTGAGCCCTCTCTCCAGCCACAAGATTTATTTTATTTTTAATTGTGTGTGTGTGTGTGTGTGTGTGTGTGTGTGTGTGTGTGTGTTTGTAGGGGTATGTGTGTGAGAGTGCAGATGTACAGATGCCCCTGGAGTCTAGAGAGGGTGTTGGATCCCCTAGAGCTGGAGTTACAGACAGTTATGAACTACCAGAGGCGGGTGGTGGGAACTGAACCTGGGTCCTCTGCAAGGATAGCAAGGTCCTCTTAACCACAGAGCCATCTTTCCAGCCTTGGAACTGTTCCTAAAAGAGAAAGCTCAGGACTGGAGAGTTGGCTCTAAAGTTAAGAGTTTTTGCTACTCTGCCAGGCAGTGGTGGCACACGCCTTTAATCCTAGCACTTGGTCTACAGAGTGAGTTCCAGGACAGCTAGGGCTACACAGCAAACTCCTGTCTTGAAAAACCAAAAAAAAAAAAAAAAAAAAAAAAAAAGAATCAACCAACCAAAAAAATGTTTGCTGCTCATGCAGAGGATCCAGGTTTATTTCCCAGCACCCAATTTTGAGTGGTACACAATCACCTGTAACTCTAGCTCCAGAAAATCAGATCCCGTCTTTTGGACTCCTCTGGTACCCTGGAATACACAAGCACACTTTCATGCCTGAGCGCGTGCACACGCACGCACGCACGCAGGCACGCACATGCACACACACACACACACATTTTTTTTTTTTAAGACAGGCTTTCTCCTCTATATAGTCCTGGCTGTCCTAGAACTATGTAGACCAGGCTGGCCTTGAACTCACAGAGATCTTCCTGCCTCTGCCTCCTGAGTGCTGGTATTAAAGGTGTGTGCCACCATGCCTGGCCACATATATAATTTTTTAAAATAAAAAAATCCTTGCTGGGCTGTGGTAGCACATACCTTTAATCCCAGGACTCAGGAGGCAGAGCCAGGAGGATCTCTGTGAGTTTGAGGCCAGCCTGGTCCACAGAGCGAGATCCAGGATAGGCACCAAAACTACACAGAGAAACCCTGTCTCGAAAAAACAACAACAAAAATTCTTTAATTAAAAAACAAAACTTGAGCATTTGCCCGGCCCTGGGTTTGAGCTAAAACAAAACTACTGATTTTTACTATTTAGGAACCTCTTCCCCCTTTAAAAATCTTTTGAGATAGGGACTCACTATATAACCCTGGCTGGCTATGTGGATCAGGATGGCTTTGAACCTGTGATCTTCCTGTTTCTGCTTCCTAAGTGTTGGGATTCAAGGCCTGTGTCATCCTACCAGGTAAAAAAAAAAATTATTCAAGTGGGGCTGGTATGCAGAACTTAGGAATTGGAGATAGGCAGATCTGAGTTCAAGGTCAGCCTGGTCTACATAGTGATCTCCTGTTGCAGGAGAGGGGAAATGCAAGTGGGAGTGACCAGTGGCTGGCACACTGCAAACTGTGCTCAACTTCTGGTAAACACTCTAAACGGTCTGAGAAAACGGTATCTGTGTAATTCACATACTGTCAGCGTAGTTCAGCAGCTTCTCAGAAGTGGCTAGGACTGGAAAAAGTGGGACCTCAGAACACTGTACAACTGTTGTAGAGCTCATTCGGTGCTTGCCTGGCAACACATAAACCTCAGTGCAAACCTGTAATTGCAGAGGTTGGAGCAGACAGATCAGAAGTTCAAGGCCATCCTCAGCTACATAGAGAGCTTGAGGCCAGTCTGGCTATATGATACCCTGTCTCAAAAAATATATAAATAATAAATTGGGCTGGGTGGTGGTGGCGAACGCCTTTAATCCCAGCACTCGGGAGGCAGAGCCAGGCGGATCTCTGTGAGTTCGAGGCCAGCCTGGGCTACCAAGTGAGTTCCAGGAAAGGCGCAAATCTACACAGAGAAACCCTGTCTCGAAAAACCAAATAAATAAATAAATAAATAAATAAATAAATAAATAAATAAATAAATAAATAAATAAATAAATAAATAAATAAAAAATAAATAAATTGAGGGGCTGAGGAGGTGTCTCAGTGGGTAAAACATTCGTCATGCCCGCCTGATGATCTGAATTCAGATCCCCAGAAACCACATAAAAAGCCATGGTGCATGCAAAGTCCTGCAAGTCCTTACTAGGAAGTGAAAGGCAGAGACAAGAGAATCCCTGGAAACTTGAGGGCAGCTAGTCTGCACACACACAACACACAACAGCTTGTGTAAAACAAGGAGGAAGACCAGGGCTGACACCCAGAGTTCTCTTCCAGCCGCCACACATATGCATGGCCTGTCCACAATAACACACGCTGACACAAATAATTAAATACTAGCATTATGGTTTAAATTTCCGACTTGTCAGTTCTGGCCCCCGAGTCTCACTGTGCTAACCAGGCTGACCTCCAGCTTACAGCAAGTGACTAATGAAATGGCAACAAATAAATAAGCAAAAGGTCCGTATGATGTCAGCCCCAGAAGGACCCCTCCAGAGTCTACACCGCTGAATGCTTGACTGTGACCTTGGGACTGATGGGAAGACTGTGGAGAGCCACAAAGGTGGCAAATGGAATCACAAGCTGCTCTTTGGTGGGTGTGGTGTGTCTGTGTGAGTTCATGTGAGTGCACACATTTGTGTGGAGGCCAAAGGTCAACCTCGGATGTTGCTCAGAAGCTGCCCACCTTGTTTTTTAAATTAAAACTATGTGAGTGTTCTGCCTGCATGTATGTCTGTGTACTCGTGCATGTCTGGTGCCGTGGGAAGGGTGTTCAGTGCTGTGGAACTGGAGCTGTAGATGGTTGCCAATCACAATGCGAGTGCTGGGAACTGAATCTTGGTCTTCTGGAAGAGCAGCCAGTGTTCTTAACTGCTGGGCTCTCTCTCCAGTGCTCCCTCCCACACTATGTAGTCCTGACTGGCTTAGAACTCACAAAGATCTGCCTGACTCTGCCTCTCAAGCACTGAGATTAAAGGTATGTGCCCTCATACATGGCATATTTATTACTGTGTAAGTGTATGATGGGGGGATGACATGCTACTACATATGTGTGGTGGTCAGAGGACAACGTTTTGGGGTCAATTCTCTCCATCTTTAGGTGGGTTCCAGTATTCAAACTGAGCTTGTGTGACAAGTACATGACAAACAGCTCCGTTTTATTAAGCAAGGCTGGCCTCCAGCTTACAGCAACCCTCCAGCTCCCGGCTCCTGAGTGCTGGGATCACAGGTGTGCATGTACCACTGTGCTCAGCCAACTCCTCTGTAGTGCTGGGGGTCAAACCTAGAGCCTTGTGCATGCTAAGTTCAACCACACCCCCCAAACCCTGACATCAGTATTTATACTTATCTGTATGATAAGTATAAATTCGCTTGCAGTATGTCTGTGTACTACCTGTGTGCATGCAGAAGCCAAAAGAAGGGCATTGGATCCCCTACAACTGGAGTTACAAATGGTTGTGAGCCCCCAAGTGTGTGCTGGGAGGGACGATGTGAATAGGCACAGCAGCTACTCCAGTCAATACTAGGAGGAATCAGAACAGTCTTGGATATTCTGATCCGAGCTGTGGAGTAAAACATTATGCAGTCATTGGTGTTAGCAGAGGCCTCTCCGCAAGTTTGGGTTTGGTGTGTAACCTGGAGTCAGCTCACTCATCACATCTGTTTCAAACAGGTTTATATTAGTATGTACCAGGTGTTATCAGCTGACTTACTGACGCCTGAGGCATGGTGGCACACTCTGGAGGCCCAGGCTGGAAGAAAAGGCCAGCCTGGGCTATATACTAAGACTGGATTTAAAAAAAAGAAAAAAGTGCTGGCAAGACGGCTTTGCTGGTAAGAGCCCTGGAGGCTCTTCGAGAGGACCCTTGTTCAGTTTCTTGCACCCACACGGAGGCTGACAACTGTAATTCCCAGTGTATCGATGCCCTCTTCTGGCCTCCTTGGGCAAGCAGGGAAAACTCACATATAATAAAAATAATTTTTTTTTTTGAGAGAGAGAGAGAGATAGGGACTCTTTACATAGCCCTGACATCCCGGAACTCACTATGTAGACTAGGCTGGCCTCGAACTCAAAGAGACACCCACCCCCCTGTGCCTTGGTTTCTCCGAGTGCTATGATTAAAGGTGTATGCTACTATGCCCGGCTAATAAAAATTACTCTTTTGTTTTTTGAGACAGGGTTTCTCTGTGTAACAGCCCTGACTGTTTTGGAACTTGCTTTGTAGTTCAGGCTGGCCTCAAACTCACAGATATCCACCTGCCTCTGCCTCCCTAGTGCTGAGATTAAAGGCGTGCGCCACACCACCAGGCAAAAAATTACTCTCAAAAAATAAAAAACCACAAAGGCATGGTTCTGGGCCTCAATAATTCTGGGTCTCACATTCTGACTCTGTGAAAATTTTAGGATCCAAATATCGACCTCTCAGAGTGACCCAGGGGAGGAGGAAGAACCCCATTCCTTTGCGGGGACCAGTTTCACTCAGAAGACCCAGATTCTGAACCTAGAGCATCGCACAGAGCAGGAGTTCATTTCTCTCGGCTAGAGCCTCCTCGCCAGCCCAAGACTGATGTGAGGCTGAGAGCCCCCAGGACTCTGCTAGCCTGTACTCCAGACTCTTCGAGGGACAAGACAACAATCAGCTCGACTCGGGCACCCCAAAAGCTGGAAGAAAGTCCGACTCCACTCTGCAAACTGATCCCCCCCCCCCCCCCCGCCCAGTTTCCTAGGGCACATCGGGAAATGTAGTTGTGGGTTTTTTGTTTTTTTTTTAACCCTGGATAGGAATCACTTCCGGGTTAAAAAAACGGGCGTAGTTCTAAGTCTTCCTCCAGTGGGCCTAGAATTTTCCTGCCACCAGAAACTTGTTTTCTGGGTTCCGGTTGCTGACGAGAGCCGCTACTTCCCTCTTTGACTCATGTGCTTCTGCGCATGCGCGGCTCTCTCGCTGAGGTCTTTGGACTACACTTCCCAGAAGGCCCCTCGGTGAGCGGGACTACCCGCCCCCAGGGGAGGGACGCAGTGCTCACAGGAGACATAGAACCTCTGACCTCGCTCTTTTATTAACAGAAAAGTGTCTGCACTTGGTGTTCGGTGGCCCGTGCCGCGGCGTACTGAGTGCAGCCCGCCCCTGTTCCTGCCTGGAGTTGGGGTTATCAGGCCGGGGCTGGCGTCTTCTCCTGGGGCTCAGGATGCCGGGGCAGCCCAAGCCGAGGGCCCGGCTGCGCTGGGGGGCCGGGTGGGGTCTACCTGGCCCGTGAGGATCTGTACCAGCAGGTCGGTGGCCAGCACATGCGACGGCTCCTCGAAGCCGATGGTTAGTAGCTGCTGGTAGTCCCCGGGTGGCTGCGGGCACAAAATCCTGGGGGCCCCGGAGACAAGCCTGGACTTGAGCACCCCTGCTCCTCAAGGCTGGGAGGGGCTTCCAGTTAGGGGTGGGGGACACCCTAAGGGAAAGTGTTTCCTCTCTTGACAAACTCCTGAGTTGAAGCACTGGACTTGAGGCTGCTAATCACTTTACTAGCTTCCTGGGAGAGTGACTTATCCACTCTGAAAACATGTTTTCTTCTTTGTAAAATGGACTGGTTCCACACCTCTATGAACTGCTGTTTGGTCTGCATAAAGCACTCTTCAGGGCACAGTAAAACGCGATACCTGCTACCAGTGGAAGCTGAATGTTCCCCGAGATCCAGTCCTTGGTGGGGTTCTGTCTCGCCCTCCCTCCGACCTCAAGCCTACATCACCATTACTGGGATCCTACCATGAATCAAGGTCATCCTCTGCTGGTCCTAGGGGTAATCCACCGGCCGATGGACCAGAGTTTCTGGATTTGGGGGCACGAATTGCCTGGACCCTGGCCTGCATCCTCCCATGTATCGCGATAACATAAGAAGTAGCTGAGGAGGGAGAAATGAGAAAGAAAAGCAATTCCTTAAGTTTTTCTGCTGAGGGCTTTAATTCTGGAGGTGAGGTTCAAGTCCATCAGAAGTTGCCTGATGTTCTCAATGTGGCTCAATGCTGAGGGCTTCCCTCCTTGGTGGCCTAATCTGAAGATGAGTATTTTTATTTTAATGGGAAGGTGGAGTTGAGAAAACCAAAGGTAGGGGGGTGAAGCTCAGTGGTGTACAGTGCTGGCCTAGTTAGTGTATGCAAGGTCCTGGGTTTATCCCAGCACCTCAAAACGTGTTCTGTTCCCTGTCTTGCTTTTCACTTTGTTGGTGGTGTAAAGGTTCAACCTGACATTCAGCATATTAGGGGAAAGATTTTGATTTTGACAAGGAAACTCACTAATCCACGTGGGAGTCTTGTCCCTGGCTGCTGGCCTCTGTGGTGGTCTCTAGGTTCCAGCGCATCTTCTTGTAGAGGTATCTCGGGAAATGACTGGCAGTGTACGCAGCTGGGGTGCAGTATCGGAAGATGGACACATCGTGGGAAGGGCTAATGGAGAACCTCCCGCAGAAGAAGCAGGAGATGCTAGCAGGAGATAAGAGAGTAGACAGCAAGCTGGGCCCTGGCCTCCGCCACCCCCAGACTCATTTCCTGCCCCCTTACCTCAAAGGGTTAGTTTCCTCCAGGTCCACGAACCCGAAGGAGGCATACATGAGAACTAACTGTTCCAAGCGCAGCGTTAGCTGCTGGGAGATCTCCAACAGCTGTGGAAGGTGGGACTTCATGACCTCAGATGGTCGGCCAGAAGCAACCCTCCTACCCCTAGGCAGAGTCCAAAGGAGAAAGGGGCCCTGGAAAGACAGCTCCTGTACACACCCCCTTCCGGACCAGCTCCTGCAGGGCTCCGTAGATGGGAGGGACGCTCCTTGCAGCAGCCTCAAGGTACAGGAAGTAAGGCTCACACATTGTTAGGAAGGTGGGCATGGCCTTGGCTAGCTGTTCCTTCTGTACTCGGTCCCTGCTGAAGGGAGAAAGGGGCTTTCACGTGGCATCACCTTCCCTCCATCCCCAGGTGTCCCGTGCTTACTCTTCTTTCCACCTGTATCTCTGGCTGAACCCATTACAGAATTCCCCCAGTGCTGTGGCCTAATGGTCAGAGCGCTTGACTAGCACGTGCAGAGCCCTGGGTTCCATCCCCAGCACCCAAAAATTAAACATAAAAAGTCAGTGGTAGAGTCTAGGGCTCACACGGGTAAAGCTTGAGTCTGTGCTCAGCATAAGACAGGACCCCTTCCCCACAGGGTTCAGTCTTTCTCCTGTCTTTCAGAACCACCTGCATCAATCATATGGAAATTTGTTAAAATGCTGACACCTGGGCTGGGAATGCAGCTCTGTGGTCCAACGCTTGCCTAGCACAAGGGCCTGGTTTCCATCCCCAGTGTGTTTGGGGGGACATGCAACTTAGTTCTCTCGAAGTTCTGCTGAGTGATAATCAGAAAGCTGGGATTTAAGCCAGCCTCCTACAGACACCACAGTCCTTTTCCCCTGGTCTGGAAATTGCATTTTTCTTTGGGAGTGGAGGGTGGCTTCTCACATTATAAGTTCTCTGGCCAGAGGTGATGCAGATATTTTGTTTAGCTGACTTTCACAGGTTTAAAAAAAAAAATCTAAGCCAGCATTTCAAATTTGGTAGGAAGTACTCAGTAGCCTGAGTCGGGAGGGTCATCAATTCGGATGTGATGAGATCCTATCTAAAAAAGAAAGAAAAATCTGCCAAAGAACCAACCAACCAAAACCAAAATTCTGGAAGACTTGGTATCCCAAACCTACACATTGCCTGCCCCTGCCTCTCAGTTCTCCACAGCCCTCGGCACACTAGTAAAGTGTATTTCTAATCAGCTGGCCTTGAGTACTGTCTCTGGACCCTGAGTTCAGTTTTCGGCCTTTGTGTGAGCTGCACAGCCTATCCTCCTGTCCTGGAACCTAGGCCCCTGTACAGGATCACCTGTAGAACAAGTAGCTTTGAAAGTCATCCGCCTTCCTGAGCAGGTAACGGAGCTGGTCAGTGATGGGGCTGAACATGGAGTCCAGTGGGAGGCGAGCCTGGGCCGGCCCGAGCTCCCCTGCCAGTGGCTCCTGGGAAGACGCGGGGGCTGGGGCTTCCATCAGCTGCTGTGCCCGCAGGGGCTCCTGCTCCGCTGAGGCCTCGGGTCTCCTGGCGGGTGACCACGAGGGGTCTCCATAGGGCGGCGGCCCGGGTCCCAATTCGTCCGAAGGCGGTGCTTCTCCAGGGCCCAGGGCCAGCGACCCAGCGACCCAGGGCTCCGCAGCCATCATCGTCCACCGCAGACTCCTCCAGCCTCCGCGGCGTCCCGGGAACGCAGCACACCTGGGGCCGATCGGCCGGGGCAGTGAGCGCAGCCACGACCCACTCGGCCCGGCCTCGACGTCTCTACCGGCGCCGCCCCGCGGGGCTTTGCCTCTTTTGAATTTGAGCACGCGGAGGGCCGCGCAGCCTGGGCCTGCACCGCGCACGAAGCTCGGCGGGCACCTGGCGCGCGGGGCAGGGCGATGCCAAGGGCGGAGCCCCAGACCCGCCTGGTGGCAGCCTTTTCTCTCCCAGGCCATTGACTGGGCTGGAGGGGAAGGGGTTCCTAACACGTTAGGAATCCATGAGTGCAGTTACCGAGAGGCCTAGGCTCCACCCCAGCCGGTGACCCCCAAGATCTGACTCTTCACTGATGGAGCTGGGATCTGCATGTGAGTCTACTAGAGACTCGTGAACAGCAGTTACTTCTACAATAAAGATTATCAGACAGATGACCTGGCTTTTCCCATTGTCTCCTTTGTTCCAGTATGCCTGCCCCGGTTCCAGAACACACCTCTGACACTTGGAGACTGGATTCCTAGCCACGTGCAAAGACCGGGATTTAAGTGCGGCTAGGAAGCCAAATACATTCATTACAAGGCTCGCAGTGAAGCAGCAACAGGTGACACTGTCCTGTGTGACCCTCACACTTTGACTGTTTTATAAAGTGAGTTTTTATGACGTCTGCTTCATTAAACTACAGAGGAAACAAAACGCTCAGCAAGTGTGTGGTGAACTGTTAGTCACTCAACAAACACTTGAGCAGGCATGAGAGGACAGAAGACAAAGGAACTATTCTGGTCCTAGAGTCATATTTTTTTGAGACAGGACTGCATGTAGCATAGGCTAAGGCTAGCCTTGAATTCCTGATCCTGCGTCTTATCTCAAGTGCTGAGGATAACAGGTGTGCTGTAAACACCACTTCCTTTTAGCACTGTTGGGGATGGAAGCAAAGCATTCTGCATGCTTGGCCAGGGCCACCCTACTGGAGTCGGCCCTACTGGAGTGGGCTGAGGAGAGCCATCACTGGTCCTTCCTCCCCAAAACACTTCTCACATTAAACTCTCCAAGGTTCTTAGCACCTCCTGCCTCCATTCAGAAAAAGGACTCTTTTTTTTAAAGTTTTATTTAAAAAACCTTCGGTGCAATATTAAAAAGCAATACAGCCAGGTGGAGCAACGATGGACAGACAGAAAGGGAAGAGCCGGAGGACCCAAGGTCCCTTACCTCACCTGCTCTCCAGAGGCCAGAGGTCAGGGTGGGGGAAGGCATGGGGGAGAATGAGGAAAACCCACCACCAGGATGGATAGGCAGAACAAAACACTTATATATAAGATACATCTGGCTGAACTGAAGAGGGTTTGGGGGCCACAGGAAGCTCCCCTGGTTTTTTTTTCAAAAGTGTCCTGGTTTGGGGAGAAAAGGTGGCCCCTGTGAATGAGCCAACCAAGTCCGCCTACCCCACACTCCACTGCTGTGGAGAGGGGATGTACTAAGGTAGGGGCGTGAGAAAAAGGGGAAATGGAGGAGGGTACCCCTTTTGGGTAACTGAAGTCTGTTAGGAAGGTTGAGGGTACCCCCATGTCCAGTTCCTGGACTATGGGGGTCCTGCGGGTGAGATCTGGACTGGCTGGGGAAGGGACAAGGCTGGCGCTCAGCCTAGGAAACCGTCGGGGTCTTCATCCTCAAAGTGGCCTTGCTGAAGGACCTTGATGTGATGCTCGTAAATCTTCAGGGCTGGGCCCAGGCGGATGGACAGGCCAGTCAGCACATCTGTCCGTTGCATGAGCAACAAAGACTTGCCGTCAATTTCCTGGGCAGGACAGAAAGGACAGGGTCAGTGGACACCTGTGAGGCCCTGTGTGCGTACAGACACGTGTAGTCCCGGGCTGGGAACTCACCTGCTCTTGAAAAGCAGTGGCCTGCTCTGGGAAGCCTGCCTCAGTGAAGTACTCCACCACATCCATGACCGTCCACTCCACTGGGTCGGTTGGCTTTTCTTTGCGCCCAGGACTGCATCAGAATGGAGAGCAACAGTGACCATGGATCAGCTCCGATTGTCCAATACACCCAGGCGCTAATCCCAGCGTCCCTACTGCCTCGACTTACGGACAGCTAAAAGGTGTCCCATCAGCCCCAGGTAGGGCTGGTTTTCCTGGGGGCAAAGGCACAGGAGATGGAGAATCCGGAGCAGCCGCAACACAAGCTGAGAAGGAAAAGCAGGGGGCAGCTCCAGGCTGGGGTTCACAGCTCCCTGCTCTGCGCTGCCCGACCCAAAGGGGTCCTTACCTGATCCCCCTTCTTTATTCACAGCTGTCATCGAGAACACCTGGCGTGTGCAGCTGCCAGGTGCTGGTCCCCGCCCTTCATCCTGGCTCTGGTAGGGTCCACAGGGCGACCACTCCTTGACTCTCTCCTTAGCACTCTGAGGGCCCCCGCTCTCCATTAATCTGGTGGTGGTGAGCACCTGCGGGGCGGTCACTCTCAGGCACTTCTGAGCCCTCTGATACATTGTCCTCCTCCTCCTCCTCCTCCTCTTCATCATCGTCTTCCTCTTCTTTCTCAAAGACCCGCTCTTCTCCACCTCTCTGGGGCCAGAGAAAGAAGCAGGCAGAGTTAGAGCTCTTCTAGTCCCGGATGGAGGCCAGTGTCCGACGCCACAACAACACGGAGTAACTTTTATGCTGTCGCTTCCGTGCCAGGCTCTGGGTTGATAAAGCCCTCAACAGCCAAGTCTTACTAAACTCGCTCAACAACCCCCAGGGGTCGCTACTGTCAGCAATTCTCGGTTTACAGCCGAGGAAACTGAGGCTCCGGCAGATCGGGTCACTGACCAAGATCACCGCGTTCCGAGTCCGCGGGGATCGTGGACGAACCCCGGCCACCTGAGGTCCCGCTCCCTCCCGGGACTCTAGTCCCCGCCAACTTCGCCCGCACCTGCCCGGTGCGCTCACCTTGCTCCGCGCCGCGCGTGCGCTACCGGCCGGCGGCGCCCGTCCCGGCCTGTCTCCGCGGGGCAGTGCGAGCGCTCCCAGGCGGGTGCGCTCCAGACGGCCCCGCGCCGCCTCTTCTTCCAGCAGCCCCTGCACGCGGCCGCGAGTAAGGCGGCCGCTGGCGCCGCCGCTGCCCCCGAGGTAGCGCACGACTTCCCGCAGGCTCACGGGCCGCGCCGGGCCGCCCGCTCGCGCCGCGCCCCCCTCCGGCGGCGGCTGTGGCTGCGGCGGTGGCGGCTGCTGCTGCTGTGGCGGCGCCGGCGGCGGCGGCTCCCGGGCGGCGACGGCGGGCGGCGGTGCTCGGCGCGGGCCGGCTGGGGGCGCCGCGGCCGGGGGCGCGGCGGGCGCTGGTGGCGGCGCGGCTAGGGGCGCGGCCCGCTGCGCCCGGGGACCCGGCTGCGCGGGGCCGGGAGAAGGGGGCGCTGTGGCGGCGGCCGCGCGGGGCGCCCGGGTCGGGGCGGCGACGGGCGCGGGCGGCGGGGCGGGCGTGGGCGGCGGCGCGGCGGGGCCCCCGCGGGGGACGCGCGGCGGGGCGGGCGGGGTGGCTCCGCGGCGGGGCGGCTGGACGCGCGCCGCGTTGCGGTACGAGATGCTCCCCTTGTAGCTGACCCGAAGCACGGCGCGCTGCTGGATCAGTTTCTCGAGCTCCGCGCGCGTGCGCTCGGGCTCCGGGCCGTGCCGCCGCCGCACCATCCGGCAGATGCGCTCCAGGTCCGGCCGCGCCTTGCGCGAGCGCAGCGAGTCGATGGTGTCCAGAATCCACTCTTGGTAGTGCGGGGAAGCGGCGGACGACGAGGCGGCGGCCGCCGTGGTGGCGGCCGCCGTCTCCGGCGGGGGTAGGGCCGGGGGCCCCGCCATGCCTCCCGCCCGGCCCGGCTGCACGGTGCGCGCTGCCTCCCTCCCAGCGCGGCGCCCCCTCCCCGCTTCCCTCCCTCCGCCGCTGCCCGCCTCCTCCGCCTCCCCCCGGGGGGCGCAGCGCCTCGGCGGAGCGGCGGCGGCGCTGCTGTTTCTTCGCAAAAAAAAAAAAAAAAAAAAAAAAGAGAGAGAGAGGAGAGCGCGCGAGAGAGACAGAAAAAAAAATAGTGAGAGAGAAAGAAAAGAGGAAAAAAATATGCACACACTCACTCACTCGCACGCACGCACACAACAGCCCCGCTTCTGCTGGGCGCGCGCGGGGCCGGGGATGCGAGGAGGGAGGAGGGGAGCGCGGCGCGGCCGGCCCCTCCCCGCCGCCGCCGCCGCCGCACGCGCGCCCTGCGCCCGGGACACTCCGGCCCCCCTTCCTGCTCGCCCTCCCCCGCTGCCCGCCTTCCTCGCTCCCTCCCACCCCCACGCGCCCGCTTTTAAGGTGGAGCCCGGGCCCCCGCCCGCCCCGTGTACCCGGCTCTCTAGCTCACTCCGGCTCGCTCCGGCCCCCCCTTACAACTCCCGCGCGCTTTTTAAGGAGGCGCCGCGGAGTTGGCGCCGGAGCGGGGGCGGGGAGCGCGGCGGGCGGGGGAGGGGGAGGGGAGCGCGAGGGGGGAGGGGACAGGGGCGGGCGGGGCGCGCGGGCGGCGTTCGGCCGCCCTCCAGCCATTGGGCGCGGGACCCAGACGTCCTCGGCGCCCAGCCCCCTCTCCACGCCTCTCCGCGCGCAGCGCTCTCGGGACCGCACTTACCGGGAACTAGCCGCGCCGCGGCCCGACGCGTCGCTCTCCAGGGGAGCCGCGGAGACCTCACCAGCGGCCCTGCCGCACCTAGACGAGGGCTTGGGGGCGCGCGGGGCTCCCGGTTTCTCCTTCTACCCGGCCGATCCCGCTGCAGTTTGGCCGCACCGGTCCGGACAGCTTCCTCCAGTGCCCCTTCGGTCCCGGACTACACGAAGTAGGAGTACCAGCAGATTTGAGGACCCCGAACTCAGGGTCAAAGGACAGTTTGCCCACCCCACCCCTCCTTTCTCTGGCGGGGCGGAGGAAGTGCAGGAATTCCAGCTAAACCCGGTTTCTCCAGGGTCCCGGAGCCGGGGTCTCCGGAGCCTGGACGCTGAGGTCCGAAATTCCCTTTCCAACACCCTGAGGGTGTGAGGGTGTGATCGAAGTCGGGAATACCAGCGACACTTTTATTTTAAAACAAAACTTTATTGGTAATAGTTTTCAAATATGTTTACAACAGCACACTGTTCAAGAGGAAGTCTCATCCTTCGCAGCACACAGGTTGAACGGCCCCCCTCGCCCACCCGGGGCCCCCACCCAGGCCTGAGAGCTCCTCCTGTTTGGGAGAAGTTACAAGAGGGATAAACACAGGGATAAATGGGGTAATTCCCCAGCAGCTCCCCACCTTTCTATTGAGAGAAAAGCACAATCAGATTTGGGGTGCAGTGAGTGGGGATGCACAGCTGACAGCTAAGCTAGAAGTGAGGCGCCCAGGATGGGGAGGGGCTTCTTAGGGGCTAATGCACGGAAGAATTGGCATGAGACCCCTGGAAAGGGGGCCGGGAGGCTAGCAGC